CGAAGAAGTGGGTTGTAGCCCACGAAAGCTTATGCTCTAATAAATTTGTTAGTCTCTAAGGTGCCACAAGTACTCCTGTTATTTTTGCGGATTCAGACTAACACGGCTGCTACTCTGAAACCAGTCTTTTTAATCTCTCCTCATGTGGAAGCTGATTGACATAGGTGCCGGAACTAGAGGTGCTGCTGCACCCCCGGCTTGAAATAGTTTCCATGATATACAGGATTTACAGTTTGGTTCAATGGCTCTCAGCACCCGCACTATAAAAATTGTATACCCCTGCTGGTCGATACCCCTAATAATTTTTGTTGCCCTTATCAGTACAGTAGCGTAGTTACTGCTAAGGGCCACATTTCCAAAACATAGGTTCTACTTGTCTGTGTGTAAGCTTTCTGCCTGCACAAACAGTCCAGTGTGTCAAGAATGTAGCAAATGTGGTAGGCAAGCGTTTACCTGCGTGCATGCAAAAATGCTAGCAACTGGCACTTATGCAATGAGAGGTCGGGCTAGTGTGGACTGAAGGCCAACACTGTCTGAGACACTTTCAACAAAGTGTTTTGACTGACAGCCAAAAGGATATATTACTAGTACAGTCTAACTTTCCCTCCACAGACTGGTGGAGCACAGCAGCTGCCTTTACGCTTTTATTAAAATCTATGAGCGACAGCCATATGTATCTACTTTACTGGGAAGAATTTGTGCTGGTGGCTATCACACATTTATATCCTATTCAAACAGAATGAACGTTCTGTTTTCAAGCAATGGCAATTACCAAAATACAGGATATAATGCTTCTTGTTACTCTTTTCAATGCAGTAAGAACAATTACTCATAAATTTGTCTCAGACACTCTGGTTAGCATAGAGAATGAGATGAACCAATTATTTAGGGTTGGCATTCTTTCTATGTTATCCATTTTTATTTCTTCTTTGACAGTAGACAGTATAAGCAATTTCAATTAAATGGGCAAGTTTTACAATAATGCATAAATGGTTAAGGAAAAATGAGGGGATTTGTGTGTTCCAAATGTAAACAGAGTATGAAGTTACCCATACAAATATGGGGCCAGACCCTCAGATAATATGAATGCTCCCTCTCCTCAATCAATGGGGAAAATAACATTGAGTGACTAGAGGGGGAAGGAGGCAGCACCCAGGAGGTGGGGGTAGCGGGCTGGCTTGAGATAGCATGTGTGGCTGGGAAAAGGGGGGCTATCCCCTGAGGTCCGCCACCATCTCCATTGGATGGAAATGAGGGAATGAGCTAGCTGGTTGGCTCTCGTGCCCCCCCCCTTACCTATTAGGCTTACCCAGTCTTTTCCAAAAGCCTCTTGCTCCAGCCTCCCCTTAGTATATGTTGTGTTATTTATGATGCTGATTGATCACCCATTATGGGAGCAGGAAATAATTTTTGTTTGTTGGACCAAACTGGCAAAAGGTCCAGTGGGATTTTTTTACCTTCCTTGCAGCATCGTGGAGGCACAGTCACCTTATTGCGTTAAGACTTAAAAATGCTTACTATTGGGAAAAGCAATATTGTTTTAGCACAGCAGGTGGAACTATGCTGATTTAGCACAACCATCAGGTCTATGATGTATTAAGTAATTCTTATCTGACAGGTCTTTATTTGTTAAACATGTATGAATCTGTGCATCTAAAAAGGACTAGACTGCCTGTTAAATGTTGTTTTTGTTAATTAGTTGATACCTTTTCTAAGTTATTGAACTCACTTAGAACCATGTTCAAGTCAACTATATTTAGGGATGAGGAAACACCATGTGTCTAATATTGTCTCATATCAAATCCATGCCTCATGCATGCAAAAAGCCCTAAGCGCAGTGGAACCACAGCACAAGTGAGATACCACAGAAAGACTATGCAGGGGAACTCTAAGACCTCTACTTTCTACAGAGCAATGCTGTGGAAGTGTGGAGAGGCCTAAGCAAATCCCTTGCTCACAACGAGCTGACCTGATGTTCGACATGACCCTTTCCTGATCAGTAGGTTGCCAGGTGTCCATCTTTCCACTGGAACACCCAGTCGAAAAGGGACCCTGGCGGCTGGTTAAAAGTCTGGTTGGCGCGGGCTGGCAGGCTCCCTACCCAGATCCGTGAGGCTCCCGAGAAGTGGCCGGCATGTCCCTCCAGCTCCTAGGCATAGAGGAGGCCACAGGGGTTCCCTGTGCTGCCCCCACTCCAACTGCTGGCTCTGCAGCTCCCATTGGCCGGGAACCGTGGGCAATGGGAGCTGTGGGGGCAGCGCCTGCAGGGGTGGAATCATGCAGAGCCCCTGGGGCCTTCCCTATGCCTAGGAGCTGGAGGAACATGCCGACTGCTTCTCGGGAGCTGCCTGAGGTAAGTGCTACCCAGAGCCCGCACCCCAAACCCCCTCCCATATCCCAACCCTCTGCCCCAGCCTGGACCCCCTCCCTACACCCCAAACCCCTTATCCTCGGCCCCACCCCAGAGTCTGCACCGCCAGTGGGAGCCCTCACCCCCCTGCACCCCAACCACCTGCCCCAGCCTGAAGCCCCCTCCCGCACCCTGAACCCCTCATTTCTGGCCCCACCCCAGAGCCCACACCCCAAGCCCAGAGCCCGTACTCCCTCCCACACCCCAACCCCCTGGGTCAGCCAGGAGCCCTCTCACACACTCCAAACCCCTCAGCCACATCCCCTAGCCCGGAGCCCCCTCTTGAACCCCAAACCTCTCAGCCACACACCCTAGCCCAGAGCCCCCTCTTGCACCCCAAACTCCTCATCCCTGGCCCCACCCCAGAGCCTACAGCCCCAGGTGAAGCCCTCACCCCCTCCAACACCCCAACCCCCTGCCCCAGCCTGTTTTCCAACGAGAGACTGCTGAGCTGGAATTGATATGCAAACTAGACACAATCAACTCAGGGCTAAATAGGGATTGGGAATGGCTGAGCCATTACAAACATTGAATCTATCTCCCCTTGTAAGTATTCTCACACTTGCTTCTTATCAAACTGTCTGTACTGGGCTATCTTGATTATCACTTCAAAAGTTTTTTTTCTCTTACTTAATTGGCCTCTCAGAGTTGGTAAGACAACTCCCACCTGTTCATGCTCTCTGTATGTGTGTATATATATCTCCTCGATATGTTTCACTCAATATGCATCCGAAGAAGTGGGTTGTAGCCCACGAAAGCTTATGCTCTAATAAATTTGTTAGTCTCTAAGGTGCCACAAGTACTCCTGTTATATTAGCTGGCAGGATGATAGAAAATTTTTAAAAAATTGGAATTTTAGGAAACTGGCAAAAATAGGAAGAAGCTCTGACCCTGATGTATAAGAATCCCCAGGGGAAAATGGAAAATAAAAATAATATCTGCAGAATATAAAATTAACTCAGATTTATAATCATAATACTTTACATTTATATAGTGCTGTTCATGTACGGATCTCAAACTAGTTTACATAGAAGGAAAGTATCTTTATGCCCATTTTTACGGATGGGGAAACCAAGGCATAGTGTGACTTGGGACACACAGGAAGAAAGTCAAAAAGCTGCGAACAAAAATCAGATATTTTAACTCCCTGTGCCATGCCACTTTGGCATGAAAGTTTCAAATATTTTGGCTTTTGGTCTTACCCTAAATGATTTTTTCCCAACTTTCTGAAATTGCTAATGAATCAAAATATCTGTTAT